TCTGGAACTCGTACGACTGACTCTTGGCATGGGCCTTATTTCAAGCAATCTAAAAACAAAACTGGGCTAGCCCAATACAGAGAGACAGCCCAATATCCTTTGCCATGGATAAACATTAAAAAATATGGGATAGCCTTGATTCTGGTTCCAGGATTCTTCTGTAGTATTTTTATGTAGTGAATGACTTCTTAAACCATCATTTTTAGCTTTTCATTGCAAACTGAAATTTGTTAGTGAAAAATGACAAAGCAAGAATGAGTGGTTGTGGAAGAATTTTGAAATGCTGAAGAGAATCTTCGTTTGTTCAGAAATGCTCATTCTTGTTGTAGAATTATGTGTAGAATAAACTAGATTTACTCTTTAAAAATAATTAATCAGTTAGTTTTATATTTATAAAGATTCTCATATAATGAAAAGTACCCTTATTTAAGTTTCCTAAGATGTGTACATCTCCCAAGTTTCGTGCAACTCCTCATGTATAAGTAGGCTTTTATCAATAGGAAAAACACAAGAAAGAAATGATTCTTCTTTAAAATTCTACACTTGCAGAAGATAGTGTGTGTTTTTGTTTGCATTTACGTAAATAATGGTTTATTTGGAACGCATATCCAAATACAATTGTTTGAAAAGCCATCATTCTGTGGACATTTGACTAATAGTCAATGCTAACATTGAACTATATGCCAGTCAAACACTGTTTTGTTATTATCACTCAGAAGGAGTACTTGCACAGTTTTATACTTCTATTAAGGTGATAACCACAGGTATGTTTGATTTAATGAAAATTCATTTCAGCTACAAATAGATGGTGACTTCTTGTATTTTCTAGCAGATGCTGCAGCCATAGCCGTAAGTTTGTTTGTTTCCCATCTAGCTGTTTATTCACTGGTTATGTATAATCTTTGCAGTAGCTGACATGACATCTGAATCTTTGTAGTTTCAATATGGGAATCCCGATAAACTGTGCACCCCTATGACTGAAGCTAAGAAGGCTGGAGAGGATCTAGTGGTAATACCAAGTCTCTTTGAGTTTCTTGTTCCTGGAGTTCTTTTTTCTCTTTTATTTTCAATAAGAAAAGAAATTACCTTTATGCAGAGTGCCTATGCAAAATACGTAAAGGAATTTTATGTTGGAAGTTTTGGAGCTGATGTTCAATCATATAACCAAGAAAACCTAAAAAGTGACTATGAATCTGGTGATAGATTATGGTGGTTCCAAGTTTGTAGCGAAGTTGCATATTTCCAAGTGGCGCCTGCAAACGATAGCATCCGCTCTTCAAAGGTTGACACAAGGCATGTACATACAGCCCCTTTTGCATTATTAATATGATCTTCAAGTTTCGCGAGTCTAGCCTCTTAATCTAATTACCAAACCAAACAAACCCGGTATATCCTGCTCGAAAAGCAGGGTCTAGGAGGGGTGGGATGTACGCAGTCCTGACCTCTACTCCAAAGGGTAGTGCGGCTGAGTCCCTTAACCTAATTGTTTTCAGATACCCCACTGATCTATTATTCTTTGGAATGTGATTGTGATTTGTGACAGGTACCATTTGGATTTATGTAAAAATGTTTTTGGAGAGGATGTCTATCCGGTTGTTGATGATACAAATCTGTACTATGGGGGCACAGACATTGCTGGTATAAACATTACTTCCTTTGATCCATCTAGATTGCAAAGGATGTCATAATATAGCTGCAGTGTTTTGTTTTGGTGAATTTTCAAGATAAAGTCACTTATTTGTCTTTTTTCTTCCTTACATATTGCCGATGATATTGATTTAGTCCACAAGATTCATGTTTTGTCGTCATTGAAGGGTATTTTAGACTTCTGATTAGTAGTCAACCCTTTTTGGTTAGCTACCTGTGAGTTGTGACGTTAAATATTGCAAAGCAGATGTTTCTACTGTTTTTCCCTTATATCTTTGCTTGACATATGCTTGTATCATCTAAACATTTAGGAACATCATATATTAGTATTTCTTTCTTTCACACACTTTTCACTAGCCAGGGGTCTTCATGGAAATAACCGCTCTACACTTTCGGCTAGAGGTCAGGTCTACATACATCTTACCTCCCCAGACCCCACCTCTGGGTGGGATATATTGGTCTCGTTTGGTTTGGTTTACATATTGTAAAAGTGTGTTGATCATACTCCACTATTGCAATTTGCAATATCCACATGCAGGATCAAAGATAGTTTTTACAAATGGATCACAAGATCCGTGGCGACATGCATCCAAGCAGGTGTCATCTCCAGATAGTAAGTCTCCAACCCTAATATCTTACAGCTGATTTATCTTTTCATTTTTTTATTAGATATTTCAACTACTAAACCAATATTTCTTTTATCTATAGTGCCGTCATACATAATCACTTGTCATAATTGTGGTCATGGAACTGATCTAAGAGGATGCCCACAATCTCCTTTAGTTCCTGAAGGTCAGTATATCTTTTCATCCTGGGTTCACCTTTATCCCCAAAAAAGAGTAAAGAGAGAAAAAAGAAATTACACAGCTAATATGTCACAAAAGATATGGTGTACAAGGTATTCATTATGTTGGATATGGAACCTAATTCAGATTGTAAACTGGTCTATAATCTCATGGATCCAAATCTCTTTGAGCTTATAAAGGCAAACTCCATCAATCTTGAATTTCTTTCTGATACTACGACATAATTCATTAATCAATAACAAAAGAGTGATTAAATTTTTAAACCATCATTCTTTAACTTTCTGTTGCAAACTGACCATTTTCTTGTGAAAATGCCTAAAAACTATAGTTTGCAAAAAAAAAAGAGCAAGTGTGGACAAATTATGTAAATGTAAATGCAGAAGAATACTTGGTACTTGTCCAAAATTGTTCATTCTTGCAAAAACAAAGCATCTTTTGCATTTTGCAAAATTGTTGGTCTGTTTGCAACAAAAAAGTCACATTCAGCCGTATGAAAGTCAAAGCACTATACACCAAATTTCTGTTGCAAATTGCTGAGCCATATGTTCGCTTTTTTGTTTCCTGCAAGTGTGTATGTAAAATTATCTATGCCAACAGCTTATGGCTGAATACTGAAACCATATATTGCAGGGAACTCTAAGAACTGCAGCTCACCTGATGCAGTTAACAAAGTAAGACAGCAGATGATAGAACAGATAGACTTATGGCTGTCTCAGTGCCATGCTGTCGGTAAGTGTTCTCTGAGTACCTAACTGGTCTTCAGAAGCATATAATTGTGCCGATTAACTATCAACTTCTTCATAACAGTTGCTTATTTCCTACCAACTATACATAGTTGCTGGCATTCATGATCTTATATGTTCTTAATGAGTTGTTGTCTGTATCATGATGATGCGAATAAGACATACAATGTATCTGACCTTCATTATTGCATAAATAAAATGCAGCACCATTTTCATGTCCTGGTATTCGTTTGAAATATTGATTTTGGTCCTTCTAGTTTTCCCAAAGGGTGGTGTAGGAAAGATAATTGATCCCCTTGACCATAATTATGATAAACGGTCTTATAACACCTGTAAAAGGTCTGTAGCAAAGATACTTGTGCTCACACCTTTTCATGAGGCGGGGGTCGTTATGGACACAACCGCTCTACCCTTTGGGGTAGAGGACAGGTCTATGTACATCCCACTCCCTGACCCTACTTTGAGTGGGATTTACTGGTTAGTTTGGTTTGGTTTAGAACCTGTAAAGGGTATGTCAGAGAAGGCGAAATCTATAGTTGAGATCAGCACAATTTGAACCCAATTGGGTGGAGTTCTTCAATTGAACAAGCCATTCCTCTCTTCCATAAACCATAATATTATCTCTCTCTTTAGGCTAGATGTCTGTATTTCCCCCATTAAGACCTGGAAAAATACATCTTGTCTGGAGTAAATGATCAGCTTGCTGAATGTTTTCTCATTAATGTTGCAGACAGATTTTAAAGATGAAAGAGGGTAAAATGGGAATAAATATTTGGTTGAATGGGAAACACATAGACCTAGTGACTTAGCTATTAAGATGTCGACTTATTGATTAAGCTGTAAACGAACATGCTATGGCCGAGGGAATAAGTCGCTCAAACCATTAAGCTATAACAAAACACCACCTTATAATTAGAAAGGTACCATAACAGTGACTATGGTAGCTGGCAAGGCCAGAGGCCAGAAGGCTGAAAAGCCCAACTAGAGAACCTTGAGGGCCAGCTCAACCAGCAAATAAAGGTTGGGGCTCCTCTCCATAGGTCGGCAGTTCTAGTTTCCTGAGGGCCATTGAGGATTTTCCTAGCTGTTATCATCAGGGCCTAGTGGGATGCAAGCTGACCCGCACACCCATGGTTATCAAAAAATCAGGACTAATAAGAAAGCGCATTCTTGAAAGCACAAGAGGACCAAAAGAGTGACAAGGATGTTATAGGCTCCAGGAGCAACAAATCTATGTGGCTCATAATGGACACTGAAGAGCAAACGGTCCATCCACATTCTGTGTTTCAGGTGACCAAAGATCATACTAGATGTCACAATTTCAACCATTTGTCGAGTTATTAGGAAAACTCGTCTTATAGATTTGTCTTGAAACTACAAGATATAAGAATTCATGATTCCATCTCAATATTATGAATAGCAAGAAAATTTATAGAGTTGCTAGAAGTAGATGCTATGAACAAAAGTAGCAGCAGTCTCCATGGGCTAGAGAGTAGAGACAATTGACACAAATTCATAATTTCTTCAGTGTTCTACACCTAACCCTTCCGCCTTTAAACTTAGTACACATAGCCCTTGACGAACATTCCCTTCTTGGCCTCCTCGGACTCACCCTCACCGGTGTATTTCCCGAGCTGAGCCAGAGAGTTGGCACTAGCTCTCAGAAGCAGAGCGTCCTGAGCCGCCTTCACATTCTCGGGCCTGCCTCCCCATGTCTTAAGGCACGTGTTCTGAAGGGCACGTGCATATGAAAACGAGACATGCCATGGGTTCGGGCTTTGGTTCATTGCGTTCAAGTTGAGCGTAGCCTCCACCTCAGATTGACCACCGGACAAAAACTGCATTTCAAATCAGTAAGTTATTATTCATCGATGAATTTGTACTTAGATAATTATATACCATAATCATTACGGATACTTGCCATGATTCCAGGAACTGAAGGTGGGATTCTTCTATGGAGAAGCTTCAGAGTGTAATCAGACACCTGTTGAGGAGTGGCTCGCTCTTTGCAATCAGCTCCGGGTGTAACCATGCTCGGTTTTAGGAGAATGCCTTCGAACAACACGTTGTTTTCAGCAAGGTTGAAGAAAACTTCGGCCCACACCTGCTGTGCAACCTCGAAGGTCCTGTCGATTCCGTGCTCTCCGTCGAGCAAGATCTCGGGCTCAACAATCGGGACCAGACCGTTGTCCTACAAAGTGCACAAGACCAAGATTTCAGACCTTGAACCACATCAAACCATAGTGCATCATTCATAAAATCCCCATTAAGTAGTCTATTAGGACGTCCGATGACAGTTGGATGTCCTAGAAGACCAATTTTATTGTAGTGTTTCTTACCTGAGAAATAGCAGCATAACGAGCCAGACCCCATGCCGCTTCCTTGACCGCAAGTGCTGATGGGCCATTCGGGATGCTCACAACGGTGCGCCTATATTATCAAGAAACCGAATTAGCATAGACCGAGTAAGTGTGCATTTTGACCAACGATACGGACTTACCATTTGGCAAAACGAGCACCCTGTTGGTAGTAAGCAGCCGAACGGGAGGCGAGTCCGTCAAGACCTTGGCACCATGACTCATCGTTTGAACCAGTTAACGGAACTAGACCCTGTAGCATATAATTATCTAGTTAGTACAAGATTGTCGAATGCCCAAAAGGGTATGCATGTAGTGCATCTCCAGGTTGTACAATGAAGTACAACTCGGAGATGCATGTTAAGTGTCTGAGATATATTACCTTGTCGACCTTGATACCGGGGATGATCCCCTGCTCCACTAGGACATCGACAATCTTCTTGCCATCGACTGTGGATTGGTACAAAGTCTCCTCGAAAAGGATGGCACCCGAGATGTAGTTGCCGAGACCTGGTGCACTGACTAGGAGGGTTCGGTAAGCCTGACGGTTAGCCTCGGTATTCTCTAGACCGATCGAAGCTAACCGCTTTCCACAAGTGGCGTTGGACTCATCCATGGCCAGAATTCCTCGGCCAGGCGAGGCTACAGTTTTCTACATAAACAAATCCACTCATCAGAAATATGTCATGTCCTAAAATAACCCTCCATTTCTATTTTAGATCGTCCTAGAATAAGCTTTAGATCGTCCTAACATAAGCGTCTCCTTTTAAAAAGAAGTGTCTACCTCCAATTCTACCATTAAATTTTACGCCATCCGTCGCAAAATAAGTGTTTATATTTCTATTTCTCAAAATAAGTGTCAGCTAAACTAAATTCTCAAATCTATCCTTAATTAATACACATATATTTAAAACTTGTGAGGAGAGGTAAATTAATTAAGGGTAAAACTGTCATTTGCTCAACTAAAAAGAGTAATAATTAAGCATGTTTAAAACGATGTATCATTTCTATTTTTAGATCCTTATTTTGGGACGAAGGGAGTATTGATTATTAAGGATAAAATTGTTCAATAGTTGATTAAAAAAAATGTAATAATCACATATTTCTAAAAAGTGTATGTCTTTTTTATTATAGATATTTATTATTGGACCGGTGGGAGTATTCTTTGTCATCAAGATTCAGCATGAATACGTAGATCTTCAAACACCCGATTTCTCGAACATCCATCCAACTGTCCCGTGGTTTAACCAATGATTCAACTAGTTCAAAAGAAGTCTTTATCGTATAATCGTTGTATAAAACAATTTTACATTAATATAGCTTAATAACCATTGATAATCCATCAAAACTTTTTATGGATCGATGAACGGTGTAGATTTGTAAAACATTGCATAGATATAACAGGACACTAACCGCAGTTTTGACGAGCTCATCGGCGTACGAACTCGCACGGATGGTGGATACAGCGGGTGCGGCCGAGCTGAACCGGACGATGGAGACGGGTGGCTGGCGAAGGGTCTGACCACCCTTAACCCATTCAGACTTATCAAGAATGGTGGATGGGGATGGCTTAAAGAGAGATGCAGATGCCATGACTGACTTTTTATCCTTTTGAATTAAACACCACTCATTGTGTGTTTGGGTTCACTGGTTTTATACTTCCACTTGGTGTCACTAACGATATGTATTTTGAGGCCATAGTGTGTTGTCCAGTAGAAGGTTGCCACGTGGGTTGATAACTTTACTGACATGGCATTGGAACATGTTTTGAGATGATATATGATGAAGGGACGAAATCTGCCCCCCTCCCCTGTATGGAGTTTCTACCATCATCATTTTCTTTATAATTTAGGGTGGTCCTTTTATATATACACACATACCCAAAGAGATGGATTCACGTGAAACCAGCCTATTTTTGTCCGTAAGACCATAAAATAACACTAAAATTTCACAACAAAACATTGTGATTGTACAAAAAATATCGAACCCTTTACAATAAAAACCCTATGAAGGTTTAGTCTTATTTATGAGGTCTAATATATGGTCATTAGTTTTTGAAATAAAAAAATTCTTAATTATAATAGTTATGGGACGGTATAGCGAGTGGTATACATATATGTTTTTTTTATTTAGGAGTTAGTTTTTGAAAAGCTTCTTTAGGTAGCTGAGTAGCTCTTACAATAAGCTCTAAAAGTTTTTTGTACTTTTTTTTTTCAATTAGGTCCCTATGATAAAAAAAATGTTATAATTTTATATTATTATCTAGTTTATCAGTTAGTTTTTATCAAACAATGGTTGGTTTATGGATTAGACAACAGCTACTTTTTAGCGAAGACGACTATTTTACATTGAACATGATTTGGAGACATTAAGGGGCTGTTTGGTTCATGGATTTGGATGGAATTGAAAGGACCAAATTTTTTTGACCAAATTCCAAATATAATGTTTGGTTCATGGAATAAAACTGATGGAATCCTTTCAATTCCAATAAATTCTTCCACTCACGGATTTTACATTCCACGGCAATGCCCTCGGATTTCAATTCCTTTCCGACAAATTCCTTCCTTAATCCAAATTCATTCAACGTTGCGTCTACCATCTCATCTAATTGATCTCTGGTTCGATCTCCATCTGGTACGCTCTCGCTCGCTCTCTCTCTCTCTCTCTCTCTCGTAATTTCTCAATCTACACGAGATCGATAGACAACATATGTAATCAAAGGAATCGATTCAAGATAACTAGTTATCCATATCACTAGTCCAAATCCGTTATTCAAAAATCATAAAAGGTCACTTGTTGATATTTAATTCCGATTCCAAAGTTGAATTCCGTTAACCAAACAAAAAAAATTCAATGCGTTAAGAATTTCATTCCAATTCCATGCAACCAAACGCAATCACAAGGCATGGTCAAATTCCATTCTATTACCTCAAAGTCAAATTCATTTGATGAATTCCAATTCCATCGAATTCCATTATACGAACCAAATGCCCCCTTTGAATCATCTAACAATTATGAGCCAACAAAAAGTTCAAACAACTTTCACAAAAGTAATGTCATGAAACAACACCTTAAAGAGCAAAAAATAACCCGAAAATCTGACCTCTGCAACAAAATAACCACCTTCTAATGACCAAAATTTTGGACTTCACTCGATACAAATAGTCAATTCTATTTAAGATAAGTAGAAGAAACCCAGAGAAGCGCATAAGTTACTAATGACGTTGTCACTTCTAAACTCCTTGGCCCTTTGAGTATAGGTGGAATTACGGACACCATCAAGAACGTTCCCAATAGCCATGACACGATAAAAGTTCCAACGCTGCAACTCAAAATACATCAACGTTAAAAAAAACCAAACAAACATAGTTTTATTTGAATGTAGGGTCTAAGAGGTAAGATGTACTCGGATCTTACCTCTATCTCAAAAATAAATCAAAGTTAACAAAAAGAGCTTCTTTGGTGATCAGGGCGAACCCACTATGGTGCAAACGGTAGCACGGGCCACTGCTTCATTCCTCTGTTGTAGTGTAAATTTTTTAGGGTTGTGAAAGGTGCCACCATTATTATTTTGTTGGATGCAACCATATTGAAACTACAATGATAACACAGGTTTCTCTTGGCAAAGTTGGATTGCATGGTTTTTCTCCCATTACAGACACTAGTTCAAATCCCATTTGTATAATTTTCTTAGGGGCTGTATGGTTGTTTTTCCACTAAGTCTCGTATGGATAAAAATGTCTGTGTGGGTTAATCTGCCTGATGAAAGGATTGTGTTTTTTAACTGGGAAGGGCAGGTTTGGTAAAAACTTGGTTCTCTGCATGAAGTTCCCTCTAGAAACTTACTGAATAAGGCCACTTTTTATATCACTAAGCCACTACCAAACAGTCATGTATAACTGACTGGATAAGTTGCGAGTTTCATGAAGCTCATTAAGTTGCTAACAAACAGACCCTTAGTTTTTAGATTTTAGTTTCATGTTTTTTATGTTTCTGGAAAAAGTTTGCAATAAAAGATGCGACCACAAGACCTCACGTGCGAAAAGCAAGAAACTAACCAACAAACTAATGATGATTTTGGGAAAAATATTCATAGCTTCGTTTTTTATAATCAAATGGTGACAGCACTTGAAATAATTCCTAGGTCTGCCCTGTTGGTGATGTCTTAATGTGCTCTACAAAATCTGTGACGCAATAAAGCTACTTTTTGCAACTGCTAATATTAGTCTATTTTTATTATCAAAGTGAACAATATTGAATTAAAGATGTAGCCTAAAATGTGATCAAAGACTACCACAACCACTTTATAGCATATACGATTATAGCAAAAAGGATATAAAAGAAAACTATGAAGCATACCCATAAAGAAAAGCTCTGAGTTTGCTCTTCAGCCGGTCATGTATGAAATATATTGTGGTAATCAGTGATATGGCTACCTGAAGGGTTGGCCCTTCTTCGGTTGGAAAGAGCACGGTAAGAGCTGCAAGTACCACAAAGGCAATGGATGTTTTAATGATGAAGTTTGTAGCCGGGGTTCTGAACCTGTTTGTGACAGCCTGCACATAACGAGACTGACTTACTTCCCTCATCTTTTTCTTTACATCAATTTTGGGGTTTTTCCTCTCATAAAACTTTTGCATTATTATTTTGTCGTGTGCAGATTCAATTGCATCAACACTTGGTTTGTGTCCGGCATATTTTTGAACGAGGAAATTTCTAGCACTTTGGATTTCGTCTTCAGAAGCTTCGCTGCTGATACCAAGTCTTTTGTACGGGTCCTTTATGTTGATTCTAGGAAAAATGACTGCAGTTAGAAGAAAACATTAGAGTTTCAGAGTTTCGATTCACTCAAGACATGCTAACTCACATGAATACGATAAATAGTAGTCTTGGAAACAACAAATAATGCAAAAAGATAGAATATGAAATTTTTTAATATAAAAGACTAGCGCACATCAAAGAAATTGTTCTTTAGTGAAGGCTTGGCGTGTTATGGCGGCATTGACCATTTTTAAATACAATATGGAGCTAAGGATTACCAGATGATTCATCTCTAGCATCACCGAAGGAAGCATCCATGGCACATTTCACCAAAGACGTTCTTTTTGTGATATATCTCTGTGTAGTTCCAACCCAAGTATTTTGTCTGCTTAGATGACGACATCAGTAAATTAATCCCAATGGTCATTACCACATACAAACTCATCAAGAATGATCAGTAAACTACCTTTCAAGACAAAAGAACTGAGATTTACGCTGATCTTGGGAAACCAAAGTGCGCTTACATGGTAAAGCCGGACCTCTTGAACTGAGATGGAAGCAATACTTTGTGGGGCTCCCAGTCAATCCAGATAGATTCATCTTCTTATAGGTATGACCAAAATGCTACACCAAATTTGATCACAAGCCAAAGCCTTTGAAACAGAAACAAGCATAACCATGAGCGACGAACTGGTGCTAGAACATGAGTGGAACTCAACACATTCTCTTTTAAATTCATTCCCCAGTAAAGACTAGTTTGTTAGCAGCTTAATGAGCTTAATGGGACTCATGGCTTATTCGTTCAGCTATACATGACTGTTTGGTATTGACTAAATGATTTAGAAAGTGGCTCATTCAGTAAGCTTCTATGGGGGAGCTTTATGCAGAAAGCCAAGTTTTTCAAAACTTGCCCTCCCAATTAAAAAACATGTTCCTTCCATCTATGAAAACCTTCCCAATCTATACAGATAGATTAATCCACACAGACAACTTTATCCATACAACACTTAATGGAAAACCAACCATATATCCCCTAAATCAGTCATATAAACAGCCAATAACATACATGTTTCTTCCCAAACAGCCATTGCAATCCCAACCTCATCACAGTTATCATCCAGTCACAACCATCAGAGTCTTTTTAACTGCCTATAAGTTGGTTGGAAAATTGGGTAATCTCATTCAAAACTGGGTGAACATGAAGAATTTATGATACACAACCAATCGAGCAGGTTAAGCGAATGGAAAACAAGCATCCAGCATCCTCTTTCTCTTCCACACAGATTTACAAGGATCAAGAAAGAGGGCAACAAAAGTAAAAAAAAAAAAACTAAGCACATTTATCAGAAAAGACATATGAGTACGAATTATGTCACAAATCCATAAAAAAAAATTAATATCTGAAGTGTGTGATTGTCACTAAAACGATTCCCACAAAAATTTCAGTTAACCCATCCTGAATTCAGCTAATCCTATTTACAAATGCAGTTCTTAGTATTTAATAGTTGCAAGAAGAAGAAAATTCCCTCATTCTCAGCACCTGGTTTAATTATGTCTACCACTTGTAAACATAAGAAACCTCTCTATAAGCAGCACTCAAGAAGACACGTCAATTAAATTCAATTTCAATAGAATTACTCGTTAAACAACAAATAGCGATGCCGCTTATATTGGGGGAAATCAGAATGGGCATTAATTGAAATCTCAGCTTCCAATTCATCGACTGAAACCATACCTAGCAACATATTACTACAAGTTTTTTAGGCAAAATTAATACAAATTCACATGAGCATAACATAATTATACCCCCAAAAAAGAGAGACACAATAAAAACACGAATTACCTGAAGAGGATAACGATCAAAAAACGATATATTTTCTTTCGAAATATCAAACGATGAGATGAAACACTTTGAATTTACACGTAATTTCCATGGAAATTCAGACGACCATTTTGTAGCAACCAACGGATTAGGAGCAGCACCAGCAGCAGGGAAGGGGGTTTTGTGGATTGAAGCCTAGCTTCTGAACCCTAGAAGCATAAACCTACAAATATGGTTTACAAGGAGAGTTAGCAAGTGATCCGTTGTAGTCTAGTTGGTTAGGATACTCGGCTCTCACCCGAGAGACCCGGGTTCAAGTCCCGGCAACGGAAGTTTTTAAGCTTTTCTTTTTAAATAGAGTAAATTACATGATTGCTCCCTGTGATTTACACAAAATCACACTATGCGTCCCTAATCAAGCACCCATCTCTTTCTCTCTCATTCTCGTAATTTTAATAGAAAAAAAAAGGTTTTGAAATGACTAAATTACCCCTAAAAATCAACTCATCTAACAAATGTTTCTAACGGTGTTAGGGAAAAGGGACCAAAAGCGTATGAAAATGCAAACCACATGGATGTTTTCTATAATTATTTCAAATTAGAAACGTACGGTGTTATTTTGTGCAAACAACAGGACCACTCATGTAATTAACTCTTTTTAATATTAACAAAAAACATATAAGAAGATTAATGTAGTTTTATAATTGCAATTGCAGTTCAATAAAAAATATCAAATTATAATTGCAATTAATTGTCTTAACTTTATTTTTTATATATTATAAAGCATTTGACAAAAAAAATTAAAAACTATTTTTTATGCATGAAGTACTGTATATTGATGCATATTATTTAAAATTCAAGATTACAAGTAAACTATGCATAAATACAACTTATTAAAGCTTCATATTTGAAATTTGTGTAACTAACCGTGGATAAACATAATCAAATATAGAATAAACTTCTCATTTTAAAATATAAAAATCATAAAATATAATTAGAATAATTATCAAGTTCTAACAAAATAATTAATTATTATCTTTACATTTTAAAATATTAAAATTCTAAAATATAATTA